ATTTTAAATTATATTTGTTGGCTTTGTTTTTCTTCTACCTTATTCATAAATGATGATTGGTTTTTTTAAAAACTATTTTAAATAGAAACTAGGTATTGTACAATGTTTAAAATGTGATCAACAACACAAGATAATTTAAAAACTTTTTATTAAGAATGGAAGTAGCATAATAAAATTATTGTTTTAATATAAATGCATTATTACAAAATGTGTAATAATATATTAGTATTGTTTAATATATATAACATATTTAAGCTTTGTAAATATAGTTATTTAATTATGTTAGAAAGAATAGAAGCATGAATTAATCATTAGAATTCAAAATTATATTTTTTATATAACCTTCATAATGTTTAAGGTTTTTTTTCCATGTGTTCAATATTGCATATACTTACAGCTGTATGTTTTAAAACTTATTACATTTTTTATAGTTTCAAAATATCTATGTAACATGTTTCATATAATTTACTGTCCAATAAATTTTACGAACAAGTATATGATTTTAATTCTTTATATTGAAATATGGACAGACCCTAACTCTTATATTCATATAAGTTTATCATATCGGTTATTGGATTGTCTACTTATTCAAGGATTAATTATTTTTCTATTTCATGATTCTGAAAATTACTAATTACTGACAAATAATCAAAGATAGAAAAAATAATATGAACACGTAATTACTCACTAAATCAATGGTGTACTTTTATAAATATGTATCCAAATTGCTTGGATAATATTTTTTGGTTTTACTATTTTAAACTGCAGGTATCTTATAATTTACAATACATTATAAGTGTTTGTATGCAAAGATTCTGTGGCAAAAGAAAAAAGAAAAGCTCTATTTCAGAAACCTAAATTTACTTTTTTGTATAAAAGTGACTGTACTATACTCAATTATTGAGAATACAGATATAATATGCACATACAAAATATGTAAAATTATCATCAATACAAAAATTAATTAAAACAAAAAAAAATAAATAAAAACAATTTCTTTTATTTAATAATAAAGAATGAAAAAGTACCGGTCAAATATTTAGATTATTCAGATATTCAATTCAATAAAACATAACATATTGTTTTGAATGTTTTATTAATTAAAAGCAAGTACATTATCAGAACAAATTTAAAATAAATAAATTATTCAATTGTCATAAAAGTTTTAAGAAGTATAAAACATTTTCTCTACTAAAATAATTCTTAGAAGTGCTTAAAAAGCTTATTTTCTAAAGAAAATAGTTTCTCTTTGTTTGAAAAATATCTGGGAATATTGAATTTACTAAACAGTACAGGGTGTTTATTCTTAATAGATACTATTCTACAAAGTACTCACATAATTTATTTGTTAATCGTATTAATTATATCTATATAATGAAATACTTTGGTGAAAAACTACACAATACTTAAAAAGGTAAGAAGGCACACGTGCTGAATTTAACTTGAATGAGGATTGTCATAAAATCTAGAAATTATGGAAACCATATGGAATTATTTTGGAAATTTATAAACCATGGAAAATTGACAAATATCATGGAAAACAAAATCCTTTCTATTAGCTTTATGATTTTATGACTAAGAGACATAACAAGTAATAATGTACATAAAATTCCATTGGTTTTTCGTTTTTGCCTGGGCTTTCCTTGTCTCTGATGCCCACATTATTTATTGCTACGAGTATCTATAGTTAGAGATTAGGAGAAGAAAAAGAGGATTCTCCTAATCTTTGCTCTCAGATATAATAAAAGTACTTCAAATATCTTAATTTTCTTTTTCTTTACCTTTATTATTAAAATTAGTTATACAAATTACCAACAACAGAAAATAATGAAACTCATCTTATAATATGAAAATATAATAGAATATCATGGAAATTTTTGAAAGCTTCATTCTGTAATGTTTGTATAAAATTACTCGTTGTACATTTAATGATCATAATTTTATAACTTATAAATAATTTTCAAATAGAAAAATTTTATGTTGTGATTACAGTGTCGTGTTATCTTATCTAGTTCCTTTATATTTCCAAAAATCAAACCAAGTGACTAAACAAGTCATAAATTATAGTCATACATAAGCTGAACAATAAAGTTGTAAACATTAATTGAGTAAATGTAAAATTTAATTAAATTACCACCTGTAAAATCGCATATTCATACGATTTTATAGGTCTCTTATACCTTGTCTATTAATGTTACTTTTAATTTATTAATTATAAAACAGATTACAAGATTTTTAATTTAGTATTTTAAAAATTATTTTCAATTATTCTATTACTTTGAATCACAATATAAATTAAAGTGCAAAAATTAACAATATTTCATAGAACTGACGAACGGGAATACAATGTGAAAATGTAAAAGAAAGTTGAAAAAACCATTCTCTGTATTTTTCACATATGTAGCCTATGAGTTTTATTATATTGAAATACTATATACACACGCACAAACATATTTTAATAAACGATAAATTATTTCATAAAATTACTTGTCATATATTCAATGATGTAATTTTTTTAATTATTCAATAACACAGGGTTGATATTTTTTAATTGATTAACAAGGAAAATTTTATATTATGATTTAGGCTTGTATTATCTTACAAGTTTATTTATGTTTCCAAATTAAAATCAAGTGACTAAATCTTACAAGTCATAAATTAGTGATACGTAAGCTGAACAATAAACTAAGATAACGAACTTTATATTGTATACGTATATCTCGTAAAGAAAATATCAGATGTTTCGCATCAACTCTCCGAACGTGGCGCACGGGTGCCAAAAGATGACAAAGTTCAACTCTTATTTGCACTACTTGAATGTATTTTAGGATGACTAATATTCGAGTCAAGTCTAGTAGAATTTATTATTGTAGTATTCAGTCGTAACCATAGCTTCCATTGAAATAAGTGAAATCTCCATAAAAACACTTTTTACAAAAGTAAAAGGTTGCATGAATGCTTTTTTAACTTCCTTGCCATTTTTATCGCTAAAACCTTGCTACTTCGTCCACAGTTATTTTAATTTATAAAAATGATACGAGCGCTATATATTACTTGCTCATACACGTACAGACAGATTTTTGTATCCTATACTAAAAATTATCCATTTTTCACATATTACTCTGTTTAGATCTTAACTCAATAATAGAATTTTCTTATTCGTCTTTAAACTTTTGAAAGTACTGAAATCAATATAAATAAAGCACGGATGCCATTTATAAGTGTAACATCTTAAGGACCAAAAGAATCGATAAAATACTAAAAACTCGTTGATTTTATATGTCTAGTTCTCTATGTCTAAACATCATTGTTAACAATGACTGAAACATGTTCAGTATCTTTAAATAATGAATCATTTTTATGTATTTAAATTGATATTAGATACACTACGTCTCGATCAACCTTATTTTTTTATTGGGATCGTTTTTAAATTTTTGAAAGAAATGAAATCTATTTGAAAATGGCACAGATGCTATTGATTCGTTTCAGCTGCTACATAACAAATAGTCACGCATTATTTATACGTTGAAATTTTCAATAACTTATATAAATTTTTGGCAACTTTTATTCTTGCCGGGCCAGTCCGCCAATAATATCAGGTACAAGCATGGGCAATAAAATATTATAAAATGAATTACTCTTAGCCGTGTACTGAAAATGAAAAATATCTAACGTTAAAAAATTATTACCAAGAACTTTATGTTTCTACCTGGTATAAAAAAATTATTTTTCACTATGTATCAAAAAAAATATTTCGATATAAATTTAAAAATTGTAAAAGTGACTTTAGTATTTGCTGAACCACGCAATAATTAATATAACAGTATTGTATACTTTTCAGTTGAGTAGTAAAAATCATTTGAGTATTTCATTAAACACTTTTGTATACTTTTCAGTTGAGTAGTAAAAATCATCTGAGTATTTCATTAAACACTTACAAATACAAATTAATTATAGGTTTACCAAAGACAATATTGATAAAAATATTAAATAATGATAGTAAGGGTGCGTATAATGAAAAGTTAGCTGTAAATTAATCATTTCTTTTTAACTCAGGCGACAGGCCCGGCAAGAATAAAAGTTGCCAAAAATTTATATAAGTTATTGAAAATTTCAACGTATAAATAATGCGTGACTATTTGTTATGTAGCAGCTGAAACGAATCAATAGCATCTGTGCCATTTTCAAATAGATTTCATTTCTTTCAAAAATTTAAAAACGATCCCAATAAAAAAATAAGGTTGATCGAGACGTAGTGTATCTAATATCAATTTAAATACATAAAAATGATTCATTATTTAAAGATACTGAACATGTTTCAGTCATTGTTAACAATGATGTTTAGACATAGAGAACTAGACATATAAAATCAACGAGTTTTTAGTATTTTATCGATTCTTTTGGTCCTTAAGATGTTACACTTATAAATGGCATCCGTGCTTTATTTATATTGATTTCAGTACTTTCAAAAGTTTAAAGACGAATAAGAAAATTCTATTATTGAGTTAAGATCTAAACAGAGTAATATGTGAAAAATGGATAATTTTTAGTATAGGATACAAAAATCTGTCTGTACGTGTATGAGCAAGTAATATATAGCGCTCGTATCATTTTTATAAATTAAAATAACTGTGGACGAAGTAGCAAGGTTTTAGCGATAAAAATGGCAAGGAAGTTAAAAAAGCATTCATGCAACCTTTTACTTTTGTAATCTAGAAATCAATCCATCTGACGTTTCTTGTATATAGCTGGACTGCACGCGATACCTTTGGTTAGTCACAATCAAATGTATCCAAACCAATAATTTATTCGAAAATACAAAATGTCAAAATAAAATTTATGTATAAAAAATTTTAATTCTCAATTTCATTCATTACATGTTATAATAATTATTATATGTTTATATATATAATATAATCATGTTATAATAATTATTTATGTAAAAATTTATAAGAACATATATTTTGATTTCAATGATCAAAATTAAACAGTAAATTTACCTGTGGATAACGGTTAATTCCATTGATAGTATTATGAGGATGTGGGTATGGTTGATAACCTCTGCTAGTACTTGGATAAATATTCCTCATCATTGCACCTTGGCATGTTGGGATTGGAGCTAACGCTTTTTGCAACTGCTTTTCTTGTTTTCGATATTTCGCTCTTCGATTTTGAAACCAGACCTATAAAAATATTTTGTGTTGAAATTCAGTTTTTAAAATACTATATAAATAAATTTAAAAATTTATTTTTAATAATTAGAGAATTTTTGGAGAAAAATTTTTTATTCAATGTGACCTTGAGGTAACGGTTTGAATAGTTATAAATTTCTCGGTAAATATAGAAAAGTTCATTAGCTTACTAAAGTAAAATATATTTTAATTACTTTTAATACATACTTTATCCAAACTTAAATAATATATTCCTGTGATTCCTTACTTTCCAAAATAGAAAACTATAAATTCAAAATTATATAAATATTGCAAGTAACAGATTACATCATTCCGCAAGTGTGTAAAATGGAGAAGCACAATTCCTGTAGAGAAGGTAAAGAAAAAATCATGCATAATCCAACATTACGTATTTTAAGATCAGCACTCTTAAATCATGCGCGTTCTGACATGATATCGTGACGAATTAATAATCGATAAGATGCGATCTTACAGAAGAGTGACCATTATAGAAAGAGAGCGAAAGCGAGAGTTAGAGAGAGAGAGAGAGAAAGAAAGAGAGAGAAAGAAAGTCAGAAGTGATAGATCGGCTGAGAAATTCGGGAGCATACAATCAGAGGTGAGAGTTAAGTATACAGGAGATCAGCACGCGACTAGAAGGAGACAGTAGAGTTTAGACTGATAACACACAAGCAATTATACCCCTTGATTTTTCGTTTATTTTCTTGCTCTTACTACTGTTTTTCCCACGGATATGTGATTACAGTCATCGGTAATACAGAGAAGACTAAACGAGTGAGGGTAACCCGGAGGAAACAGCAGAAAAAGGTTTCACCATTTTCTGTGTTCGTGGTTTCTTCAAAATTAAATGATAAATTCAAAATAATTTTAAGTTCAAAACACAAAACATTATTAGGTATATATCTTTTTATTATCTTCTAAATCATTACTTATACTGCATTTAGTAAAAGATGTAGAAATACAGTAGGATAACTTAGCCTTTTCATTTTACATAGCTTCATAATCTTTATGTGTTTTAACATATCTCCTCAGCCTAATCTGATTTGTTACTCTGACGTCGCAAGACGTTTTATTTGTAGTACAAGCCGACCGTTTAATCATGTGACAAAGCAAGACATTTTTATGATTTGAAAACTATATAAATTTCATAATCTAAGCTGTAGTATAACCCGATCATACAATTATGTATTGTATGCATTTTATGCCCTAACAAACTCGTTGCGAACGTTCCATTTCCGAACTCCATGCAATACTAATTTAACAATTGACTAAATCTATGCGCATATTCAATTCACTATATTCCACTTATTATCTGTTCAATTCTATTTACTATAACTCTATAAGTTGAGCATTTTATTGATGTACAATAAATCTTTGCCAGCATTGTAAAATTATTTTAGCATATTATTTGTTCCACTCCCTACTTTGGTGTACTCCCACATGATGTACTTCAACGAGCAGTTAGAGCGGACAACCATTGCTCCTGCATAAAGGTGGTCTTCATCAGCGCTAAGACCAAGCTCAACTCCATCAAGAGCCTGAAGCCTTCATCTTGACTAACCAATCGTATAACTATTCCACGGCTTGAGTTGTTGGCAGCACTCATCACCGTTGAACTGATGCGAGTGACGGCCTTGACACTCCAGATAGTAGCATTGAAGTGCCACTTTTAAAGCGACTCATAGGTCGTCCTTAACTAGATACGATCGAAAAGATCAATTGGGAATGATTTTGTCAATAATTATGTCAGCCACATCTAGAAACTTTCTAGTTAAATGACCTGGCACTATATCCGAACCGACGAGAACCCGGCTGACATCGCGTCACAAGGTTTGGACATGGCCATCCTTACGAGGACCCTCTTTGGTGAAACGGATCCTCCATGCTAACTAGGCTCACACCAGCTGATCCACCAGCCCACCGATGCTTCTGTTGTAGAATCAACCAACTAGTACCACCACTCATCTGTAACTGTTTCGCAGTTCAAGATATCCCTTCTCTAGGTCACATCGAGCACTTCAGCGTTCTCAATGTTCTGCTGAGAGGTATCGTACGCTGCAAAAGAATTCTGCGCCAGGTAGCCACGAAGTCTGCATCTCTCTTCGCTCACTGAGCTTGTTCTTAGATGATGATTGGGGGCTGCAGGTCGGAGATCGTATAGACAACGCCCTACACACTTATGATAAACGACACCTTGTACTTCTTGACGGCCAATCGCACCTAGCGTTTCTCGTTATCCGCTGGACATACGAAGATAGTTTGCACTCCGGGTTTCGAGCCATCGGCTGTCGTATCATACAGTTCGTGTATGTGTGTTGGAACCTTATTGATCTAAGGCGACGATCTCCTCGAAAAGAGTACCGATCTTTTCACGGTTCAACGCTCAAGGAGAGCGGAACTAAAGGCTTGACCCTCGATTTGGGCGCGACGGGACTCTAGTTGCCTCAATGTCTACCGCGTCGGAAGCACGCGGCATACAAATCTTACGAGATTTGCTTGACCTGGTACCACTACTCCGCAGAGGCCAACCCAAGTTGGGATGTCAGAAGAGATACTTAGCCAGGACAGCCAGAGGAAATTCCTAAAACGATCAACCAGCTAAGCCTCCCCTCCTGGGCTCACGTTCGAAGAACATCCCACCTTGCGTACCTATATTAAGGGATTTCTCCCACGACTCACAGGTCCATCGCTTCGACGTACCGAGGCACGTCTTCCCATTGCGTTTCGGTCATCCCCGCTCACGCTGGTGGGTGTCCGTTATTCGAAAAGGTTGTATCCTGATTTTTGCCCGGATCTCTGATTTCGCTTTCTATGGAAGGCTTTTATGACTCGCTGATATTGATCTCTGCTCTTTCGATTAATATTTTCTGACTTGGGTCAGGGGCGGGGTCTCGCCTAGCTGACAAGGCGACTCCCCAGGCAGTTTTCAATATTCGTGCCAGTCATGCCACTCATTCGAATCAATTTCCGAGATCCAGGCTCAAATCAAGTGTTTTAGCGTTCGAAATTAGCGTTCAAATTGTGTTTTCTCACACAAAGGTGTCGGGCCTTACTCCCGGAGCTCGAGGCAAAGAACTTTGTGGTGGCTGCTATGACCACGGCCGCGACTCTTTACCCACAATAGTGGCACCTACCGATTGCCAGTCGATAGGGAGTAATTTCTTGTCTACCCGAATTAAATTCGGATTGCCGGGACCATTAGTCCTCTGCAACTAGCTCTCGGAGCGGTCTCCCGTCCTCTAAGAGGGCGCGCGGTACCACAATCCCGAGAGATTTCCCCTCAAGTGAATCCCGGATTTTGGCTTTTCTGGGCTCGAGTTGAGCTCTTGGGGTGTGGTAGACTCCGCGTTAAACGTTTGGGCGTTTACAGGCTGCACCTCACCACGTGTTGTCATGGTCCGTGTTATTTCTTTTGTTTGGCCGATTGGCCTTTTGCCTTAGGGGCAAGCGTTGTGTGTTTTGCCTACTGTTTCTTCACTGAAACAGCGTTTTCAGCCCCACCACGTGAAGATACACACATCCGCACTTGTGATTGCAAGTCTTCGTTCAAATACACATTTCGTTCACTTCGGGTCGACTAGCATTAGTTGCTTGTCGAGGGCAATCGGTGACGTATTTTGTACTTCAGCATTTGCATTTGCATATGCCCGTACAGGAAAGAGAAGTTTACGACGTCCTCTCCCAAAACAACGAATTGTTTGTTTGGGAAGTCTCCGTTCTCTGTTGAGGAAGACAATTACTGTCCGCCGCTTGGACAAAAGATTGTTGTACAAAGTGACCTGGCCAGCCGCGAGGCTGGCCATATGGTGCACTATGTGCATCATCTATGTTTTTCCTAAGCGGACCATAATCGAGCTTCCTGAGAGCGTCGTGATTGCAACCGCCTGTCGTATCATACAGCGTGCTTGGATCACGGTCGACAAAGTTCGAATCGAGAGAGATCTGCGGAGCTGTGTCATGCGTTGTCGGGTCGTGGCTCGACCGGCCACCCAATGAAAGGTCCTACTGTCCTACGCCAAATTTACTTCGTCTTAGCACTTAAACAAAGTTAGCGTCCATTACGCAGGGCCTTTCCGGGTCAATCGTTCTTACGTTCGAGACCTGGCCACAAAGGCAAAAGGCTACGTCGCGATGTTCGTATTAATGTTCGCCTTAGCACAAAGGCGGTATCCCTGAAACTCGTTAGGTACATTACAATGACAAGTTTCCTCGGAGCTTTGATCCGATTCATCATCCGACGAAGCAAACCCAACCCGTTGAGATCTAGAGCCACGATGCCAGTAACTTCCGTGGCATCAACCTGGAGTTACAGAGTTTTATGCGAGCTGCGAAGCTGGACTGGAGCTTAGTCGAAGGCTCGCTAGCCTCTCAAGGCATCATGTAGAAATTCATCCTCTCCCCAGCGCGCCATTTTTCGAAGGCCTATAGGAGGCATATAGGCAGTGAAGTCGATGAAGGCTCACCTCCACCGGATCACAGGACCGCATCGCTTTATTTAGGAAGAGTTCGCGACCTTGATGAGTTGAATCAGAATAATCTTGAGCAACCACCTCTTACTTCCCCTTCAGCAAGTTGAGCGACATTGACGCCCTAATACTGAACCACCACCTCGTTAGAACTTTTGTCACCTCCTGTCCTCAGCCGATGACTCCCGAGGTGTTACTGGAATATTCAACTCATTAGGATCTCATCATCGTCATGCGGGACAACTTTTGACGTCCTTGGAGTCAAGAATATCTTAACACCTTCATTTAACGATCCAAGTAGAAGAAGCCCTAGCCAGACGTTGAGATCGGAGAATTTGTCGTTATTGTAGACCCCTCGCTTCTTCAGACTGATGACCTCACGGATGAATCATTGTCACGCATTCAGGATAAACTCAGATACAATCTAGTCCGTAATGTCACTGTCCGCACGGCCGCCGTCCAGTATGTCCAACCAGTGGTAGAAATCTGCCCGGCTGCTGATACACAAGATCGATCCTGTTCTAT